GTTCTTGCTTCCCATCGTCTTCCATTGACTGGGAAAGATGTTTACGCTTTTTGGGTCTCTGTTTTACTTTCAGCCAAATAGGGTTAAAACTCTCCTAAATGAGGTCAAGGTAAAATGAAATAGTACATAATACTAGTTGAAATAATAGAAAATACTACTTATGATCCCAACATTGCCACTAGTGTTACTTCTAATGTGCAAAAATGCCTTACAGAGGTTATTTCACTCAAACTTCTGAACAATCTTATAAAATCGAGGTCATTATCTACCTGCAAGAGATGGAACAGAGGCCCAGAAAGGTCCAGAAAGTGCCTCGAGGTCACACCCGCAGAAAGCGGAGGACCTGGAATTCTGTCCCTGGGCTGTCCAACCACGGGCAGGTGTTCTTGCTCATTTTGTGGTTGTAGCAATGACATTTTTATGTACACAAGGGCCATGATGATGATGATGATTACTGCACCACTCTGATTATTTTCTCCTCATGCCTCTCTCCTGTAACAACATCTGATTGCTCCACTCATCATATTCCAGCCTGTCACCAGCTTGTCACAGAAGTGATTGAAATGCTACTAATTCAGCATGATGACTTTCCGGCTGGGCGCAGTTGGCAAAGGCTGAGATGTTTGTTTATCTGACAGCGAAGGAAACGGATATGCCCGTCCCACCAAGCCCTAGAGAAAGGCGGCCACATATGGTGAGGAAGGGCCTGTGTGCGCAGACAGGAAGAGGCGTTGCGGCCTCGGGGTCTCTCTGGACTTCTCAGCTGCACCTGAGTGAACCCAGGGGGCTTCTGGAGGGGGCTGTGCCATTTGAGCAATGGATCTTTTTTTTTTTTCCTAAATGAAGCGCATGCTAATTGCAGCTGGTGTCAAACCCCACCTCCCCTTTTTTCATTTACCTGCTTCCTCTTCCCTTTCCTTTCCTTTCCTCACCTTTGACTTCCTCCCATTGTTCTGAGGTCGGTTTGTTTTTAAGGGCTGGGCCTGGCTCACAGGAATCAGGGCCAAAGGGGCCTGTTCTGCCTGAGCTGAGCTTCCTGGAGCCCGGAGGAGCCGATTGCTTTGAAGGTTGTTGAGACTATTTGGACTAATCACATGCGCTCTAATATTTTCACTCGTTTCTGATCATCAAAGTGTTCAGAAAGGTTTGAGCGGGAGCGCAGTTTCCTCTGGTTTGTCCTTGCGAGCAAGTGTCTGGAGCAGGGTTGATGTGAAAATGTGTTCTGAGTGGAGCTTCGTGAATGGGGCAGGCTGCAGATTCACAGCGAGGGGCGTCATCTTTCAGAACAGTTTTAGAGAAATCGGAATCTCCTCAGCTCTCATTAAATGAACTCCTTGTTTCCAGACTGTTCAGAGTAGAATTTGGGGAGCGTGGGCCGTGAAATATTGACGTCGCCAGTGGCAGGATGCCTCAGAAAGGTCGAGTGTCCTTTGGGATGAAACAAATCGGTTTAAAGGAATTTCCTTTTGCTTTTCTGTGTTCCTCTCTGTCTTCTTTCCTATAGACCTTTTTTGTGTGGGGGAGGGGCTGGGGTGGGGTGGTGGTGTTTTGTTTTGCTTAGTTTAATGGGGATGAAAGACAATTTTTGCACTAGGGTCTGGAGCGTGTTTATGGACCGAGCCTCATTCTCTCAGGGCCTTGCTCACTTGCTCACAGTGGTTGTGAGCACCTCGAGGGCAGGGGCCGCAACGTACCCTTTGGCCCCTGCCCTTACCTGTAGCCCATATCTGGTAACTTACTCTGGGCCATGTGCATCTGCTAAGACTCCAACTGCATGTTAAGATGGGGGGACAGGTCCAAAGTCCACCTGCCTTCTTAAAGACTCTTGGATCTAGAGAAGTCTTTCCAAGCAGTCTGGCTGATTCAGCCTCCGCAGGTTGCTCACCTTCCTTCCTAACATCTCACCTGGGTCAAAGGCCCTGCCGTTTTTCACATTCATCCCTGACTCTGAGTTGGATGGCCCTTTCTGTCTTAAAAAGCAAAATAAAACAAACCAAGAACTCTTGCTGAGCTTTAGGACAGCCTTTGGGCCTCTGAGTTTGGACCTACCTGGTGCAGGTCAACAGAAACGGAACTAAAGGACATCAATGAGGACGTCAGTTTGTCCTACAGAGGCTCTTAGCATAGTCATGTCTGCAGACTTTGAGGTTTTTAGTAAAGGAGACATGGTCCCAGGCCTGGTGACCTTTGTCGAATCATGTAACCTCATAACCTTCTTAGAGCCTCCACTTCCTCATCTGTAAAGTGAGTGGCAGCACCAAAGTGAGCAGGACCCTTGATTCCGTAGAGTGGTCCAAATGTTCTGATGAGGCAGGGTCAAGTTGGAAAACAGAAAAACAATGGGAAAAGCGTCTATTTAATTAAGTGCCCCCAATGTGCCAAGTATTTTATTTTATTATTTATTTAAAAATATGTTTTTATTGAGTTTAGGGAGAGAAGAAGGGAGGCGGGAGAGAGAGAAACATCCATGTGAGAGAGAAACATCAATTGGCTGCCTCCCCCACAGACCCTGACTGGGGATCAAACCTACAGCCGGGCATGTGCCCTGACAAGGAATCCAACTGGCAACCATTTGGTGCATGGGACAGTGCTCAGCCAGATGAGCCACACTGGCCAGGGCTATGTGCCAAGCATTTTATTAATGTCATTTCCAATTATTCATAAAATAGAATTTTTTTTCTTTCCTTTTCTTTTTTAAAGAACTTACTCTATGCTAGGCTAGCTGCTAGGAATAAACCAGGAAACGAGACAAAGTTAGTGCTCACGGCCTACACCAGTGCTTTATATTGAATATGAAGTTTGTAAAATTCTTAGCACAGTGCCAGGCATACAGAGGGTTCAGTTTTCTATTATTTTGCACACTTGTAGATTGAAGAGGCTAATGTCATTTTCTACCGTCGGGGCAGTGAGCAGATTCGGGGGCACGCGTGAGAATGTCATCCTTCCCCAGGAGAACGCCACCGGAAGAGACAGTCTTTCCTATGCAGCTGCTTCGGCAGAGCAGCCACCGAGAAGGCAGGGGCTGGGCCTGGGGAGCGACGTGTGCTGATGGTCCCAGGAGGGGCCCCTGTTCTGTTCCCCAGATGTCTCTCGCAGCTTTGGTGGGACTCACACACCATGGGCGCTTCATGGTGCTGCTTGGCCGGCTGGTATTTGGCTGCGGGGAAGTGAACTGTGCCCGCAAGGCCTCGGGTTGCACAGCCGCAGGCGGCTGTGAGTCAGAGAGCAGGTGCCTGTCCTCCGTACCCACGTCTACTGTTTCTCCCAGGCAGGCCCGGGGAGAAGACAGAGACAGAGTGCCACGTCCATTCAGTCGGGTGGGGGCTTGGAGACTTGCTCAGTGTCCCATGACCAGTCAGTGGGAGAGCAAAGATTTGAATGCAGGCCTGTCTGATTCCAGCAGAGTCCGGAAGGGTCAATCTAGGTGTCTGAAAGCAAGTCAGTCGATACAGCAGAACATTTTGCTATGGGAAATTAGCTAGTTTATTCATCAATATCCTGGTGCATTTGAGGTTAATTTGCTTCTAAAATCTCCTAAGTCTTCACACCCAAACTGTCCACTGGTTTGAAGGAATTTATGGCATTTCTGCAAAATGTATGGTTGCCAGGGCACCAAGATAAGGGCACAGGAGAAAAAACACTCAAGCTAAGAGATCTGAGAAGTGGGGTTTACCTGGTCTGAATTGGGTATTTGTCTCCCCCCTGCCTCCGCCATGGTTATTTACTATTGAATTTCTTTGTGGGTGGGGCTGCCAATGGGCATTTCCTTTAGCAAAATAATTAGACTATATTAGACTCCACATATTCATGTGGATGAGGTATAAGAATAGTTTTGAAATTCTCAAATTATTTTTATTACAATGTTTGCTATATGTCAGACTGGCTTGTGGCCTTAAGACATTGTCATGACTTCTAAGCAGGTCAGGACTTTACACGCAGTGATAACATCCCCCGAGAACACAGGAACTCTTTCCCACCTCAGGGCCTTTGCACCGCCAGTTTCCTTTGCCTGGAATGTTCTGCTGGTTCTTTGCAGGGCTGACTTCTTCCCAATGTCACCTCCTGGGAGAGGCCTTTCGTGACCTCTCTATGTAAATTAGGTTGTTCTGTTATTCCTGTCACAGCATCTTGCTGATTGTTTCATAACTCTTCAGGGCCTGTAATGATTTTATGTTTTGCTTACTTGTTTATTATAGTATTTCATTGGATCTAACATGCATGGCTAGTAGGAAACATTGTTGTATATACCACTAAAAAGGAAAAAAGAAAGCTACAAATGAAACTGTGACATGATGCCTTGATGATAGTCCTGGGTCATGCAGAAATTGGTCACAGCAGCCTCTCATTGCTTTGAGATGTCTTTCATCTATTTTTAGAGTTGGCAGTTTTGCTTACTGTTATTTGCTTTGCTGAGAAGGTGGCGGGCAATTCTTTTGCAACAGTAAAGCACGACTTCACATAGTGTGATTATCTTTCCATAAACACTATCATTTCTCCAATGATAAATATCAAAATTAAAAAAGAATTTAAATCCTCACTGAAGGATATGTTTTTATAGGTTTTTTAGAGGGGGGGGAGAGAGAGAGAGAGAGAGGGAGAAACATTGATCTATTGCTTCCCGTACATGCCCCATCTGGGGATGGAACCCTCAACCTCGGTATGTGCCCTGACCAGGAATCAAACCTGCAACCTTTTGATGTACAGGATGATGCTCCAACCAACTGAGCCACCCAGCCAGGTGATAAATATCAAATTTATGCCTTACCACCATCTCCATGCCTTTTTGCATGCAAATCAGATTGGTCTTTTAGAAAACACTTTGCCTCGCAGTTAAGCTCGATCCATGTAGTCCCAACAATGCACATAACTCAAATGAAGTGACGGCGATATGAGTATTTCTGAGCAACCTCATGACATGGCCTCGCCCACAGCATTTATAAGATATATTCCAATTTAAAAGATATTTTAAATATGAAATAAAGTATCTGTTTCCTCTTCCAGGGACCCGAGTCCTTGTCAATTTTGTGTGTCATGGCGTGCCCAGCACCTTGCAATGTTGGTATACAGAGAGTGCTCAGCAAACATGTACCAAATGCATGGAGGAATTAATGTAATTACATACTTATACATTTCTGTTAACTGTGAAACTGATTGCAATACGTCTTAAAGAAATATCATGGTATCCAATAGTTTCTGCTATTTAAAAAAACTCCTTTGTTCTGAATTTATTTAATTGGTAGTACCAATTATAAGGACTAAAATTTTGACTGGTAGTTAAAATGGTAGATGCCCATTGATAGAATTCTCCTCATCATATGTTGAAGTACTTTCGTATAATTTGTTCCAGTTTCCAAACACAGACACGCTATTACTGGTAATAGACAGGACTGCTTATTGCTGACCGAGCAGTGGGAGCCGGGGAGCGCAGGAGACGGCTGTACCCCGGGAACGCCGTGGCGAAGCACTTGGAATACACGGAGGGTCCTGGCTGGATGAAGAACTGGCAAGCGGTAGCATGGCTGCTATGCTTTAGAATGGCATCAGAGACCTTGGGCCAAGCCAGTGATGACGGGAAACGAGTTTTGAAGGAGACTATGTATATTTACTGGACACCTGTTAGGCTAGCATGTGCTTATTTAATCCTCGCACAAACCCCTGAATTAGACGGCATTGCTTCGCTTTGAAAATGAGAAAACTGAGACTCGAAGAGAATGATCTGCCTGTTGCTAGCAGGTGGTTTCTCTAGGCTCTCAATCCGAGTCTTCTTGATCCTACAGCCGTCACTTTCCCAACCACTCCACACGGACTCAGAACACCTGGCTGGATGGACTATTTAACAGGGGTTAATGGGCATCAGGAAGACGGGGGCCAGCACTGGAATTAGGATGGAGAAGACGGTGCGTAATTACAGAGAAGTCGAGGTGCCCGATTTGATGGAGTCTGTTCTGTCTTAACCACCGGCAGGGGACGATGCGCTTCCCAGAGGGCATCGAGGAGAACTTGTGAGTTGGGTCTAGTAACAAAGAGAATTCTGATAGCATGGCCCCACCATTTCCAGCGTATCCTCTTTAATGTTTTTTGTACTTCATTTGGCTTGTTCTTTGCTCTTCGGCCTTTTTAGCACTTGCCGAAAGAGTTACTGCACGAGGTCAGCTTTGCTACAGGACTGGATGTGATGCACCGGACGTCTCAGTGAGGGAGCACCAGCTACACTTGCCCTCGAAAGAGAGGCGGGCGAGAGGCTGGGGGAGAAGAAAGGCTGATGCGTGGAAGAATGGTGAGAAAAGAGCGAAGGGTTAAACCCCATGTTCCTTTAACCAGGGCCAGGACATGTTGAGTGGTTCCTCACACCTGGGGCTGGACAGGGTGCAAGGAAGGAATGGGGAGACACAGGTGTCAGAGAAGCCGGGACTAGTGAGAACCTTGTGGGAAACAGCTTCAGCCTTAGACTCTCCCTCATCCTCAGCACCTCATTTGGGGATGAACGTAGCTTTGTTTCAGAGCAAAGCTGATGCACCCAAATGTTCCCATATTAACTGAGGATGGGCCTATAAGAAAGGCGAAGAGCTAGGAAGGGCATTTTCTATTTTATCAAAGTCTGAGTGTGAAGGATCCCCACCCCCACAGTGGTCACTGCGCACTAGTGAAACTCTCTGGGACCTGTGTTCAGGTCATCACCGGGAAAGGAACTGGGCTGGACTAATGGCTTCGGACATGACGATAGGATCACAGTGCCTGGTGGAGTCTGGATTCCAAAGTTACTGGCAAATTGCCCTCTCTGCATTCCAGAATTACAGAGGCTGACGTCTGTCCTGTCTCTCTTTATGTTAGGAGGGACCACTTCAGTGAATTCTCTTGGTTATCCAAATAAGGTAAGCATCCATACCTTTTGGGGGGAGGGGAGCCCCGATTCAAAGAAGTAATTTAAACTTAGATATGTCCCACGACCTGCATGCAAATCAGTGATCACATTCCATGTATAAGCTTCATAATGAGCTAAGTCAAGTCACTCTGGCTTATATTGGTTCCATTTTTTTAAAGAGAGAGAAAAAGGAAAGACATATTTTTCTCTTCTAGTTGGAAAGATACCTGCGTGGATAAGAGAAAGACAGAAGCAATTCCAGACAGCCTAGCCATTGTGAAAACCAATTTCCTTTCTGAGCCTATCAGGGCAGGTAAACAGGCTGGTGTTTGCCTGGTTGGCCCTGCACACCTGTAGCCTCTTCCCTCAGCAGGGGTGGGGGCAGGGAGCCAGCAGGGCTTGGGAAACAGAGCCAGCTTTGAGCAGAACACAGTTTGAGCCTGTGTCTCCAGGGAGAACACTAGTGCTTTATAGGAGGGGCCTGTCAGCAGTTGGTATCATCTGGAGAAAGAAAGTACTGCCACCCACATGGGTTTCTCGGAAGCTAGGGGTCGGGGTTTAGAATTGTGGGCAGAGTTGACTGGGAGTGCAGGAGAACGGGCACCGGCGCCTGGGCCCCTTTGCCGCGCCTTCTCCTCAGCCCCTACCCTGCCGCAGGGCCTCCCTTCAGCTGTGGCTGTCCCTGGAACAGCTGGTCAAGTGTCTTCTGTGGAAGCGTGCCCTTCCAGAGCAGGCTGGTGTGGCTTCTGCTTCTGGGCTCCAGCATAGCTGTGGTTTTAGAGATCTGTGAAGGCAGCAAAGCGGTGCCCTATTCCCATCCAGTGACAGTGCAGTGTCTTCTTCCATGGCGGCCTCTCCTCTCCTGGGCGAAGGAGGGCCCAGTTGGAGGCACAGGTGCTGGGGGAGGAGTCCGCACAGGTGTGTGTTTGTGTTAGAAGAGCAGGGCGGACAGGTGCTATAGAGGGGTCCAAGTGCAGCCTAGGCAGGGTGCACCCCATGAGGACAGGGTCAAGGGAGGCAGACTGTGGTCAAGGTGATCGCCATTCCCTCTCGGGAAGTCCCTCTAGGTTAGCTGGGTAAGGAGGGGACTCCAAGCAGCTGGATTCCTCTATCAGAGGCCCGGGAGGACCAGCCAAAGGAGGCGACAGCCATTTGCTGGTGTAGGGAGGTGGCGGGGCGCTCAGGGCTGGCTCCCCGAGCTGACTGGTGGCCTGCAGCCCTGAGAATGCAATCTGTAGGCCCAGGGATCGAAGTGGATAGTCCGTGATGGAGGTGATGGTTTTGGCCTGTACTGTTGGTTTGGGTGGGAATTGACTTTAGAGATGGACATTTAGCAACTTGAGCTTGTTCCAAAGAGAGTGACCTAAGGGTGAGGGGACTGGGAGCCATGTCATCCAAGGACGAGTTGAAGGGATATTTAGCCAAAGAAGGCCTGGTGTGGGGCTGGGTGGAACATGAAGGAAATGGATCATAGCAGCCAATTAGATCATTTGCACAGCTGATCTCTGTGCCCAAGAAATGCTTGTCTCACCTCAGGGATCCCGACCTCCCGACCTCCCGACCCCGGGGCTGACCGCCCGACAACTACTGAGCACTTACTATGTGCTGAACCCTGTTATAAATACTATTTTATATATTAAATCATTTAATCCTCACAGCAACCCTATGAAGTACATCAACCTTTTATTATTCCACCTTTTAAAGATGCGAGAACTGAGGCTTATCTAACTTGCCTGAGGCCGTGCGGCTAGTGGGAGGTGGGGCTGGGACCAGTGCAGCAGACAGATCAGTCAGTATTGACCTGCGTGTCTGCTGCCCCCCCCCCCGCTCCCCCCCCCCCCGAACCCCTAGTCTAGCCCCTGGGGAGCTCTTACCCGGCCTCCCTGCCCCTTCAGTCCCTGCAGATTCTAGTGCTGCCACATGAAGTCTCAGACGCCCAGTAGGGTGGGGACCTCTGATGCCCAGGCTCTCGGGATTTTTATCCTCTTTGCCCTAGGGGTTACCCCAGCTTCTTTGCAGCTCGCGCTTTGAAGTCTGATATGGCTGAAGCTAACTGACCGTGGAAGTTCTATTCTTTCTCAACTGGGAGATCATTTCTTTGTCACCAGAGGCACACCAGCTTGCCCAGCTCTCTGGCGCTGAGACACTGGGGCCATCTGGCCATCCGAGCCCTGCACAGCACGTGGGGATCTTTTTTTTTTTTTATCCTCACCTGAGGACATTTTTCCGTTCAGATAGAGTGGGAGGGAGAGAGAGGAAGAGAGAGAGAAACATCGATGTGAAAGGGACACATCGAGTGGCTGCCACCCGCACGACCAACCAGGGCCGGGGACAAACTGCAACCGAGGTACGTGCCCTTAGCGGGAACCGAACCCGGGTCTCTCCGGACCGCAGGCTGACGCTCTAACCACTGAGCCAAACCGGCCAGGGCTGTTCCTCGTGGTTCTTTTTTGGCAGAAAGAACACTGGTGTTTGATGGTGGCATGTTCTTTTCATCTCCTTTCTGATGATGATGGTGGAAATGTCCTTTTGGGGGATGTATTGGAGATTGCCAGGAGGAGAAAAAAGAGGAAAAGCAATCCAATCTGTTCTTACCCCAAAACCTAGGAAATGAGCCGCTCAAAGTGGCGAGGAGAGCAGGCTGCCCAGGGCCCCTGGCTGACGACAACCATGCAGTCCTCAGACCAGGCTCCGACTTGTCTCAGCCCGCTCGATGCTGTCCCGACCACCTGAGAACACCCCTTCCTCGGGGGTGTGCGGGGGAGGGTTGACGTCTAGAGATAGAACTAGATAAAATGGGAATTTCTTTGAGCTTTGGCTTGAAGAATTGCCTGCGTGAGACCCAGAAGCCGTCTCTTTTCTGAAAGGTCCAAAGGTGGACACAAGGTATAAAAAAGAAAAATTTAGAAGGGGCAGATGTTATTACTTTCGCCCTGGAGTTTCCGACGATAGCGTATTTATTTTCCTCTGCTCCGAGAGGTCGCCACCCCGATGAGGTTGGCATAACCCACTGTTAGGGGCCGTTCATGCCGGGGCCCGGGGTTTCTGAGGATCCAACGGAGCGTGTTCACTCCGGCTGGAGGCTGCGTGGCCCTCACTCTGGCCTGGTCTGGTGGAAGAAGATTTCAAATTGGGGTATAGAGTTCTGCAGTAAACAGGGTTTACTGAGAATTCTTTTTCTTCTTTCTCCTTGGAATTAATGTCCTGTCAACTCTTGAAATGGATCATGGGATTGGTAGTCAAGTTTTTGTATGAAAATGCCCACCCGAGGGAACAGGATGGACTGGGGAGTGAGTGTGTGTGTGTCAGAGAGAGAGTGTGTGTGTGTGTGGTCTGTCCGGGCTTTCCTGGCGGCGTGGGTCCTAGTGCCTGGAGGGCCACAGTCTGGGGGAGACCTGTCTGACGTGCCGCCTGGCCGTGGCTTCTGCCTCTGCTGTCCCTGCTCAGGGGACCCGCTCTGTGCTTGGTCCCTGGAAGGCGTGGGGCCCATGGAGATGGGCGTGGACAGCGGCTCCATGGGCAGAGCTGTATTGTCATTCCGAGAACTGCAGTCACGAAGGCCCATGCCCTCTGCCTTCGCTGGCACCTTCGCTGAGCCCTGCTCCGTGCTCCTCTGGATCGAGCAGGTGGATTGGAGCCTGCCTGGCTAGTGACAAGACACACATGAGGTGGCGCTTGTTTGGGTGGCAGGTAGAGGGACGACGGGCCCAGGACGATGCGAGGCTCTGTCCATGCAAATGAAACCCTCGCCTCCTCGTGTCCTGGCAAAGATGCCTTGGGGTCCCCAGGGTCCCAGTTACCCGAGGACCTGTGCTGCCCCTAAAGTCCTGTCACAAACCACCTTTCTCGACTCTTTCAAGTATCTGACCTTGGTCTTTGCCTTCTTCCTCCAGCCTCCAAATTGATCAAAGCCCTCCCCCCGCCCCACCCCCGACAGACTGTGACTAGGGTTTAAGGGACACACTGAGTTCTCTTATCTCAGGAAAAAATTAAATCCTAATTTTACCACCTGACAGGCTGTGTGACTCTGGATGAATTAGTTTACTTTTCTGAGCCTCAGTTCCCTCATTTTTGTCACAGGACTAGCAATATTGTCCTCATTCAATTGTGAGGATTAAGAGAGAATATCTATCTATAATAATAATTAATTGTCTGTACCTCCTAGAGTTGTTATAAAGATATTAGTTAATGTTTATAAAGGGCCTATATACATGATTTATAGTGTTTACATAGCATCTTCAGTGATGCCTGGCATAAATGATGGAAGTGTTTGTTTAAAAGAAAACAGGCCAAGTGAAGTGTTCACCACCACACGGGCTCATTAAATGCTTGTCCCATGATTAGGAAGGGTCTGCGGGCCGAGCGTGTCTCGGGATGGTGGCCCCGGCGTCGCCATCCCTATGCCCTCAAAGCCCGCATGCTGTCTCGCACGTGGGGAACCCCAAAAGTTGAGGACATAGTGGATGAAGGAATAGGCTCCTCTCATTTTATCCCTTCTCTTTAGTATTAAAAGTCTTAGTTTTAGAAAATTTACTTCTAATTTTGAAACATTATACCCTAGTGCCCACATAGTAGTGACTTGGAGCTCACTCCTTTGACATTTGTGACCCCAAAGCAAGAGTGAAGGCAGGCTAAATGGCAGTGTGTCTGCAAAGAGGGAGACACATACATGGGACGGAACACAAAATTATAAACCTAAGTGCGGGCGGGAACTGAGTAATGATGCCCCACAGACATGCCTTCCTTTGAATGGAATACATACTGGTGCCCGGTGCTGTTCAGGATACACAGACGAGTAAGTCACCAGCCCGTCGCCCAGGCCATGCAGCCGGGAGGGGCGGCGGGTCTGTGCACACAGAGCAGGTGGAGTGTGGGAACACTGCCGGACAGGTGCAGACAGTGCGGGGGCTTCTGGGCAGGGAGGGCTGTGGGTTTCTGACTGAGAGTAGCATCCAAGGACGCAGAGAAGGACAGATGAGAGGTGGTGCATCAGCCCCTTCTCGCCACATTC